AAGAGATGTTGATTGTACAAGTGTTTCTTGTTATGATAGTTTACAGACTTCGTTGAAGACAGCATAGATATAGAGAAAATATTATTAATTTCTCTTAAGATGTAAAAGAATTTACCAGTCGTCTTCCTCAGCATTCATCTTCATTGAATATGCTTATCATACGTTAGCAATCTGATAGAGACGCAATAGCCTTTAGAGATTTTAAAGTTCGTCGAGATAAAGTTATTTGTGCATTGCGTTGGCTAAAGGAGAACAATGATTATTATTCAGACATTACCATAGACAATAAAAATCTTCAATTTCTACCAGAGGATGATTTTATTGATGATTAACTTCGAATTAATCAATTAACAGATGACAAATTTAATGAAGAAAGTGATGAAAATGAAATTACACACACCTTCATACCCTTTTTGCCTTCAGATAGCCAGGAAGATATAGCTATAAATAATACAATTAATAGATTATTAAGTAATAATGATACTATTGAGTAGCCAAGAATTGATAACAATCCCATTAATAAATTTCAAATATCTGGATATATTGTATGCACATTTCCAACTCTTTATCCAACTAAGCATGCTGGCTTTTGTTTAGAACATATTAAAGACATAAAACCAGTCAAATACTTTAAGCATTTATTGCTATATGGTAATGGAAGGTTTGCTTGTTATACACATTGGCAGTATTTCACATTTAATTTACAGATGAGATTGTGAGCACTACAGAAAGAAAGAGTATACGTTAAACAGAATTTTAACAAAAGCCAACTTATAGTCACAGAAATACAAGAAATAATTGCTGATAGTAATATATATATGGCAGATCAGATTATAAGATTTGGTCTGGGTATATGTAAATCAAGACAGTTTTGGAATGCAAGACGTCGCGAGTTATCAGACATTATTAGACAGTTAGATTCACAAGGTTTAATATTTTTCACATTTAGCACTGCTGATCTACACTGGCCAGAACTTCATGCACTTATGCCGTCTAATAAAAATTATCATCAAAATATCATTAACAATCCTCACCTTGCTACTTGGTTCTTTAATAAACAATTCGAATGCTTTTTTAATAACGTATTAATTAAAAAATAGAATTTGGAAGATTGGTAGTATAGATTCGAATAGCAACATCATGGTAGTGTTCATGTACACGGAATTGAAAAGATAAGAGATAGTTCTAAAATTGAGTGAGAACAATTAAAAAATAATAATAAGTTGTTAAGAGAGATAATAAAATATATTAACTCTCTGGTTACTACAATTAACCTGAGACCTGATGCCCTCGTCCCTGACCGTCATCCATGCCAAAAATATCATGAAGAACTAAATGATAACTTACAAGATTATACTGAATTAGTTAACAAATTAAAGCAATACATACGATGCAGTTCTTCGTATTGCCTTCGTAACTGTAAAGAACAACAATCTTGCAGATTCAGATTCCCTAAGAAGAAAAGTAATTATACTTTCTTGCGTGATGATAATCATAGCTATCCTGAACTTGTAATGACAAGAAATGACCTGTATATTAATCCTTATAGCAGAATTCAACTTCAAGAATAGAGAGCAAACGTCGATCTTAAATCTATTCTTAGTATTCACGTGGCCCTACAATATATTTCCAAATATGCAAGTAAAGCAGAACCACGATCAGAGGCTTTTACACAAATATTAGATTGAATACTTAATAATAGTAACCCCACTGATAGATTACTTGTCCCAGTTCAAAAATTATTGCTTTATAATGTTGCTGAACGTGATATATCTGCTCAAGAAACTTGTCATCTACTTCTTGGAATTCCTCTTTATTATTCAAGTCATATCTTTGTTTCATTAAATCTTAATAAAGAGATATCTCATTGGCTTCGTAGTACAGGTAGCAATGATAAAAATTATAATAAAGTCGAGAATGCTGAATGGACGAGTCGATCTACTTTAAAAATTTATTAGAACAAACCTTCTGAGTTTAAAAGTTTTTCATTATATAAGTTATACCTTATATATAAGCTTACTAAAAATCAATAGAAAATATGTAATAAAGAAAACATTATACGAGTTTGGTCACAGCTATTACCATTACGAGACGGACAAGAATAGGAGGAGTTCTGCTGCGTGAAAGTTCTTCTTTATGTTCCCCATCAAGATATTCAACTCCTAACTCAAGACAATACAATTTCATGGTCAGTCTTATATAATTGCTATTCTGAAGAAATTAATAACAATCTAATGGATTTACTTGGCTTCCCCGTAGATAATGATGAAAGGAGAGAAATGACGGATGATAAAAGTCAAGAAGAATTCAAAAATGAAGAAAGGGATAAATGCCGATTTGACTAGATGCTTCTAGCAAAAATAGGTCCTAATTTAGTATTTGATTGTTCTTCTGATCTTGGATATTGTGATATTGATCAAAATCATGACTGGACTAATAATGCCAGACAATATTATTCTAATACTGATCTTGGAGAAGCAAGCTCTTTCATGCAAAAAGTATCTAATCATAATGAATCGAATAATGATATAAAAGGAAATAAAATCTCGAACACTAAAGTTATAGATTATGAGATTCTAAATGATAAACAAAAGACAATTTTTAGGTAAATAGAGTCACATTACTATAGAATTCTTACGGGTTGTCAAGTTGAATCATTTAAGATTATCGTTATGGGAACTGCTAGTATAGGAAAGTCATTGCTAATCAGAGCAATCAGGTGTCAACTTTTTGAAATGGCAAGAAACAGATCCAATTTGCCCGTGTTAATACTTGCTTCAACGGGTGTTGCAGCCTTTAATATTAATAGGGAGATATTTCATTCAGTTCTTTCTATTCTAATACCTATTGGTAATAATCTCAATATAACCGGTGAGCGATTGAACTATTTACAAAATAGGTTACAAAATGTAATTTACTTTATAATTGATGAAAAGAGTATGATCAAACGTCAGATGCTTGCTGTGGTTGATTTGTAGTTATATCAAGCTTTTTCTGAATACAAAAATAAAACTTTTGGTAAAAGATCAATTATCTTGTTTGGTAATTTTGGACAGCTTCCTCCCATGCTTAATCATCTCATGTACACCACAAATATTTTAAGAGATACACTGTCTAATGATAGTATTGTAGCATATAAACAATTTCAGGGGGTGTATAAACTCGACACTATTTAGCATCAGTCTGGAGATTCTGAAGAACAAAAGAAATTCAGAGATATTCTCTTACGATTATGTAATAGTGAATCTACGATTACAGACTGAAGAACACTTAGCACACGTTTTGATAATAAAGTAACTAAACCAGAATATAATTGATTCTTAGATACTATGTTTGTTATAACAAAGTGGACTGATGTTAATTTAATAAATACTGATAAACTAAGATCATTAAATATTCCTATTGCAAAAATTCTTCAGTACATCAGAGAGGTGGTAAAGAAGCTAAAAATGCAGATTTGACATAGCAGGTAGTCTTGAAGGAGAATTATTGTTAGACAGAAATGTGCGTATTATGTTAACCACAAACCTGTGGACTGAAGCCAGATTAGTTAATGGTTCAATAGGAACTATTCAAGACATTTTGTTTGAAGAAGATCAAAGTCTGCCTTCACTTCCCACAGCAGTTTTTATTATATTTAACAACTATGTAGGACCTACTATAAGTACAGTAAATGGCATAAAAGTTGTTCCAATTGTGCCAATTCAACACATGTGAGAAAGCAAATCAGGAATGACATGTTCACGTCTACAAGTTTCTATCTGTCTTGCATGTGCTATTACAGTGCACAAAAACCAAGGCCTTACACTACCAAAAGCTATAATAGATATTGGCAGCAAAGAATTTGCTGCTGGGCTTTCTTTTGTAGCGGTATCTCAAGTATGTTTCCTTAACGATATTGTTTTTAGACCATTTAATTTCAAAAGACTTCAATGGATTTTAAATTGTAAAAGAATGCAAGAAAGAAAAGAGGAAGAAATGTGACTAGTTTCTTTAATACCTAAAAGTTGAATATATTAATTAAATAAAATTACTGTAATAATAATATAATAATTATTAATAAATAAACTCTTACTATTTTATTACTTTTGTTATCTTACCACTAAATAATTTTCATCTTTATACGAGTGTTGCCAAGAGAAAAAGGCCAATTTAGTTAGTTATCTGATTTAGCCCTTTTGATCAATAATACATTGAGTTTTAAATTATAAAATGTAAGGTCAAAATTTATAATATATTACTGTATATCATAATTAATTTTTCTCGTTACATTTATAATTTAAACCCGATGTGTTATCGATCAGAAGGGTTGAATCAAATATCTAACCTAATTGGCTTTTTTTTTCCTTGGCATCATTCATATATGAGTGCTGCTGAGAAAAACTTGATATCGGGCTTTCAGTTATATCCTGTGTTCAGTCTGGTTCCAGAATACTGTCTAAAAAAAATCTATAATTGAGCTTTTAATTATACTGGTACAAATAGAATTAATTAAACTCGTTGATAGATTTTTCCAAGATAGTGCTCTGGAACAAACCGGACATAGGATATAATTGAGAGCCCAATGTCAGGTTTTCCCTTGGCAGCGCTCATATTAATAAAAATAAATAAACAAGTTTAATCGTAAGCCTTATTCATAAGTTTTAATTAATCGCGGATTTAGTGCAGTGCAGCATAATAACTTTAGCCAAAATCAAAAGAACCTAAGTGGAGAATTGGAAGTAAAGAAATATGTTTAATGAATATATTTTTTTGAAAAAGTATAACACTACAAAATACATGCATGTGTACTGTCTTAATTACTAAAGCGTTCTGGCATGAGATCAGAGTTTTGATCTTTTCAAACTGTTTTGTGACATAGATCGCTGCATGCCGTAGCAAGTATACTTAAAAAGCGTCGGCTAGCTTGATTTCTTACCTGCGTGTAGTGTTTGAAGGTTTAGGTATTATGGTGTGAGACTAATAAATGACAAATTCAAAGAGGAGCACCTGGAATGATCAAGTTTATTAGACAAAGTAGTTGCACAAATGTAGATATAGTAATAGGTTTTTTACTCTTACTGTTTTAATGTTTTAAAAGGTATTGCTGTATTGACACAGATTTACTATACGATAGATTTTTGTTTTTGTTTTTGTTCTTGGTTTTTACTAGAGTTAATTACACAACACGCGTGCGGATAGACAAAGTTACATCGTTGATCTGATTTGCACAAGATTTACAAAGATGCATCAAAAAAGATACTTTTTTTGATCGAAATGCATCAAAAACGTAAATTTTGTATCACTTTGCGTAGACGGGTCCGTCGCTACGCTCCGGACAATAATGATAGTGTTGGGTTATGACCTGGTCATAATCTAAAACTGTATAATGATTTATCCGATTCAAATTTTTTGATCATTAACGATATCAGGATATATAATGATAGTGTTGGGTTATGACCTGGTCATAACCTAAAACTGTATAATGATTTATCTTTTGACAGCAAATTTCATGTTTTGAAAATTTTATTTTATTTTATTTTATTTTTTATTGAATATTATCACTGTACGAGACAATAAAAATTGTATAATTTTAAAAGTGCATCACTTTTATAAAAGCAATAATTCGTCAGATTTTTAAACTTGTTTTTTAAAAAAAAAGTTATAATTTGAATAAATAGTAAATAGATATTTTGGTAAAGGCGGGAACGGAGTTTGGAATCTCAGGATTTTAAGGTTAAGGTGTATATTGTATAAAATAGGTTCTACCCTAAAATTGTAATTACATTAAGAAATTCTAAATCTACTTAAATTCCGTTTCACTTACACCATATATTAATCTTAAAACGCATCAATTTTTTATATAGAAGATTATTTTTTTAATTTATAAAATTAATATTGCTTTATAAAATTGACGAACAATTTTTTTGAAAAACTTTGTATAAAAAGTTATATAGTGATTTAAAAAATTGATACATGTCTAGTATGAACTACCACCACCATAGTAAGTATAAAGCTAAGAAGTGAACTAATTTACTCTGTCCTACATCGTAACTATTCTAACTCAAAGCTAAATTTCAAATTCTATATAATTTTTCAACCTATTCTTTTTTTTAGTTCATCATTGGATTAAGGAAAGTCTAGTGATAAGATTGAATCATTACATGTCCTGATTTGTTAAATCTATAATATCAATTCTTTTATACCAGTATATGGGCGCTTTTCAATAGAAAAGGGGAGAAAAGTTTTTAGTAACTTTTTTTTAAATTTTAAATTAAAATATTTCAATAACTACTGAATTAAATGTAATAAATTTTTTTTATAATTTTATAGAATTAAAATAAAAAAAAAATTATTAAATTTAGTTTAATAGTTGTTGAGATATTTTAATTTAAAGTTTAAAAAACTTTTACTTAGAAGA